AGTCGAACCGTCCTGACCGCGTAGCTCAGTTGGAAGAGCATTGGGCTGGTATTCCAAAGGTCGTAGGTTCGAATCCCACCGTGGCCGGGCATATTTTTCAAGCTCGCCCGGTGTGGATATGCACTCAGAGTAACATCGCAAACATATTATTCACCTGAGTACACAACACCAACACAGGAAAAAAAATTCATATTACTAGAACATATTGGTATTGAAGGGACTAGATACTGTTCCGAAATATCACTTACTCGAACCATGCTGACCGCGTAGCTCAGTTGGAAGAGCATTGGGCTAGTATTCCAAAGGTCGTAGGTTCGAATCCCACCGTGGCCGGGCATATTTTTCAAGCTCGCCCGGTGTGGATATGCACTCAGAGTAACATCGCAAACACATTATTCACCTGAGTACACAACACCAACACAGAAAAAAATTCCCATGTTCGTGTTGTAAACTGCATCATGTATTCATGATTTTTACTTGCAACTCATTTGCTTATTTAATAGATTGCAAACAGGGGTCCCCTTGTTAAAAATTTCATGTCAACTTGGGAAGATCCCAAGCAATATTTTTGCAGATTGCAAAATTTATAATCTATCAGTAATCTGTACCTTACTATGATCTAAACATTTGATGATATTTATGTGGCTCTAACATGTAATAGCTTCAATATTTTGGAGTGTATTATTTGATGTTAATTAAGCCCTTTAGTTAAAAATCACCAATTGAAGAATTGCTAGAACCAAAAGTGAATGCTGGAACTACAGTATCTATATTTACCATGTTGCACCCTCAATGCCTGGTTACCCCACGTCTTGTCATCCCCTCCCTCTTTGAGGGCCCTCTTTGTTAGCGATTCAGTTCTACACCACTGACTGCTAATATAAAGTTATGTAAAATTTTAATGCCAATAGCTCAGGGAATGCAGTGCTGTGGGAAGCTCTTTTTGATTGGGGAACTGAAAGCAATGGCCAAAGGCCCAAGGAAATTTTTAAATTTAGAGTGTCTGAAATGCCATTTCCTGAACTTTGGGAAAGATTTGACAGAATTCTGATGGTCAGAAAACAGTATTTTAGTATGTCGAAATTTACAATTTTAAACAGCCCCCCCCCCCCTGATTGCTACGGCCCTGGGGAGAAATATAACCACTGTCTATCGCATGCATCAGTTAGGTGCAAAAAGCTAAATTCCGCACCAATAGTCAATATATGCGATTGTCCATATCATATAACCCTTTAAGTGGCAATGTACCCTCATGTGACCTACTTTATTATTTTACTGTGTCTAATGCCAAGGATTTTACTCATCAGGGAGAGAGTGCTGTCACTCAATGAGTTAATTCACAAATGAGTCCTTAGTCCTTAACTGTCTGATAAACAATTTTTGTGTTTTAAAATTTGTTATAAACAAGTTAAAATAAAAATATACAAATCTGTATTTATCCTCAAATATGAATAAGGGTTATTATAGCCCAAGGCCCAAGTATGAACACTTGTGCCACAGTGCCAGCACAAAATGGGCTATTCCAGCTTTCAATTCTGCTGGAATGAGGTGATAAATTTTTAGCTTTGGAATTCCTCAGGGATAAGCAAATATTTTCTGTGTGGAATTCTTTGGGGGTAATCCGGTAATGGATATTTTGAATGAGATTTTCTCAGGGGTCAAATATAAAAATTGAAATTCTTCCAGGGTCTCTCTTCATGGGTATTAACAGGAATTCTTCAGTGGATCTCTTTTATGACCTGTAGGAATTCTTCAGTTCAGCGATATGATGAACTCTTGTGCAACGGACCTGATTGTGAGATTCCACTTCATTGAAAGGACGACCTTAGGACGGACCATTAGAAAAGTGATGGGGGGGGAACCAAAAAAAAATTTATTCCCAGGAAAAAGTTAGGGAAAAAAAATCTTCCCAGGCATAGTGCAAAAAAAATTCCTTTCTTGGAAGATAGACCTATAAATTTTAATAAAAAATATATATTTCCAGCCATCAAGTGAGAAAAAAAAATTTCTATAGGTGTACAAAAAAAAATCTTGCCTCTTAGAAAATCCCCCCCCCCCCATCACTTTTCTAATGGTCCATCCCTTAGTTAATTAAATTTGCTGTATACATTATGTCGCAACGTGTCACTATTTAATAAACTTATGTGATTACAAATCAAGCCCGCAAATCGTTGAATATACTCTTACCGCTCGTTGCAAATCACGCAGGCGCCTATTTAAAAAGCCCCAGCAACTTAACGCTCGAGAGAGCGTCTTGTTCAATTTTAATTTAGGCATCATTTAATCAAATTACCGTAAAATTAAAATTCTATAAATGTCAGTTTATATGTCTTTACTATATACTATCTTCTTTTTATTTTGATGACGAGGCAGAAGTGTGCTGCTTAGCAGAGGTCGCTAACGACGACGACTGAAGCCTGCCGTACACGAGAGCAACTTGCTGAGCTAACCGCCTCGCGTGGCAGCTAGCTCAGCAAGTTTCTCTCGTGTGCAGATAGTTTTCGTGAGGATTTGACCTCTCGAGGCCTTGAGGAAAATATCTATCGTGTTTGATATTTTTTACCTCGCGAGGAAAAAGTCTCAACGTCTGCGGATGTTGTGAGCTTAGTGCAGAGCTGTTTGAATCAATTAGCCAATGAGAAACCATAGTTTCTTCATGTGACTTTGAACGCAATGGAGGAAAATGCGAACGATTTTGTCATTATGTTGTTCTTGAGATGTTTTCCCAACGTGTGCGGTGAAAATGCATAGTTGAGCTATAGCTGCCAGGCGAGGCGGTTAGCTCAGCAAGTTTCGCTCGTGTGCGGCAAGCTTAACAGACGTACAATTCACTTTTCATTAAATTTTTGCATCAATGATGATATGGAAACTCCATTAGGGGGATCCCTTTCGAACACCTAAAAATGCTACATAGTTTGCTATAGTGATCTACCATTTTAATTAAAAAGGATCACGAATTTGACAACAATATATCTCTATTGTTTAGTTTCTCGATGGCTGGTCCCTGCTGCCAGTGTTTTTTAAAGCCCAGGCCCAGGGTTCGCTGTAGCCGTGCACTTACAGTGTACTTTAGGACAAAGCCAATAGGGAGATAACAGTGAAAATATAAAGACCTGTTATGCTATATATTATAGTATTACCATTTGCAAGCAACCGTGACACGCAAACTTTAAGATGCGTTTGTTTTACGTTTTTACAGTATCAAATATGCTAACAAAAACGTGGAAACAAACACGTTCCCAGAGTATGCCCGTTCGCAGGTTAGGGTTGCCCAACCCTAACTTCCAAACGGGCATGCTCTGGGAACGAGATTGGGAAACAAAAGGTTTCGACCGTCACATTGACATGTTTGACAATAGAAATTTGCATGTTTTACAAACTTGAGTGCTCGTTTTAAACACGTACGTTACATGTTTGCGGCGATGTCTGCCCAAGTGAAACCTTTATTGAAAAAGCTGGAAAGTCTAGTACATGAGGTTGTCGGCAGTTATTATAACGGAGAACAAATACGGATGCAATACAGGGACGAATTAAAGAATGGGTCGAAAAGCGTCCAGATATACACCTCGTTAAATGGGCAGTTTTTACGCGAGCGAACGTTTGCACGATAAAAGATTTTTTTTTTGTGTAGTAGTAATGATTACCCTGCTAGAAGTAGATTCTAGCTGAAATGATAAATGTTCAATTAGAAACGGTTTATATAGTAAATTTAAAATATTGTCGGAAAAATGCGTTTGCAGTTATATTCAGTAGTAACATTTGTAGGGAGATCAGGATACATCAGTTTGGTATACTCAAGCGCGTTTCCATTGCAGTTGTATCACACAACGCCGGAGTGGTTTGAAAACGGCGTGAACAAGTCACAATAGACGATTCCCCTTATTACGTTTTCGTATCGCTTTGCATTGTGGTTATAGTGGTATCACTGACATTCAAGATAGCTTATTTTTTGTCCTGACCCGTGCCAGAACTTTTAAAAAAGCTAGGGTCAAGTGCATGCGTGATAGCCACCAGCAAAATATTCGCGAAAACATTCAATATTTTCATTCGAGGCCGCTATCTTTATCAGTGATACCACTATAACCACAATGCAAAGCGCTACGAAAACGTAATAAGCGGAATTGTCTATTAGCCGTTTCGTTCACACTACGCCGGAGCGAATTGTTTGAAAACATCACTTTTGCCGTGACAATTTGCCAGAGCATGGTTTCTAAACGGAGCGAGATGGAAACGGAGCGCTTGGCGGCTTCGTGTGAACACAAACGCCGTTACTTTTTTGTACCGCTTGCAAAACAGCCATCTCAGCTCTCAAAACAATCAATTCGAATGCTTGTCGTTTATATTTCTTTGCTCTATTTGAAATATTTTGAGTTTACATGACTAAATGAGTGCTAATTTAATTTGAACACACGTAAATGCTGCCGACATTTCGCTCCAGTGTAGTGTGAACGTAGTCTAAGGAACGAGGGACAAACAGATGGATAATAAGTAGTTCGTCTATATTGCTGCGCAGTTCGTCTCTTGACGAGTTGACAGACGATCTGTCTATCTTGTGAAAATACGTCTTTCGACAAAGTATCAAGGAACACCGACAGTACATATCTACGAAGAACAGTTGGTATAAATCTGCATGGTTTATGATTGGCTTTTTAAGAGGGTGTTGCTGGGGTATATATATCGTGATTGCTCAATTTCGTGATTGCTCAATTTCGGTTAAACACTAAAAAATATTTTTTCCTCAAAAACAAAATTTTTAGTCTCAAACCAGGGGGGTGAAGTACATCGTCGAACCTTAAGATCGCGGTTGGGACAGTGGTAGTTGCCATGAATCTAGGGACCAGTAGTCATGGCAATGGCGCAGATCCGCCATGTTTTTGGCGACACTTTTATCCCGAGCAGGTCCTCCAGTAATATAGTATAGCTCAGTGGGTTACGCTTTTTTGCTGAGTCAACCTTAATTCTGTATGTCTCTACTTTGTGATGTTGTACTTTGTTTTACTTGCTCTCCAGTCACCTATTGTTCTCATAAAGTTTACTGTTTCATTGTACATAGAGTTAGGATCTCGTTATTAGACTACGAGATGTTTCTATGTTTAATGTCTTGGGGACTGGGTCTCTGGTTTTAGCCATGCACCTACAGTGCACTTGGCGATAAAGCCAACGGAGAGATGGCAATTTCTGCCCGTCTGCTGATGTATGGAAACTGATGAGGAAATTTAAAGTATCAAAGAGAGTGAAATGCAAGAATTGAGGGAAATACATAAATTATTCGCCCGGTTACACATTGC